GTGTATTGCATGCAAAGGTTAATTATCCCCCTTGTATACTGCATTCACAATTTAATTTCTTCTCAGTGATGAGCCCAGATTTAAGCTCGTGATGCTTTAACTTAGAAACAGCAATCTTCGCGTAAGGTGTAATTGTGCGTGCGTGCGTGTGTTTTTTTCCCTGTAACAGAATATTTTATATGATTATCCCATATATGCATCAAATCGTGAATGAAATCCAACAGGGGAATAAAGCTAAATATTCTCTAACAATTGCTAGAAAGAAAACATGATGGTTGCAAGCTTGTTTACTATCGATCTGATTTGGAGACTGACCATCCAGATCTTGTATAATTACTTTAGAGTTCGTTCTGGACTATGGTGCTTTTAGTTGGAATCTTTACACTTGTGAAGTGCTTGTTAATTTCATTAATAATTCTTGGGTTAGGTACTTTCACTTGATAGTACTTTTGGATGAAGCTGAAGCTGAAGTTGGAGCTTTTGATTTTAGAAGCACTTTACCAGTCACTGCACTCCAAAGGAGTGCTTACAGTCTTTTGATCAGAAGAAGAAATTAAGTTGTAGGCAATCTCGTGCTAGTATAGCTACCTCCAAAGATCTTTATTCTAGTTAATTGTAACTTTGAAAATAATCTGGGTTGTTTTATATGATTTTTACTGGACTTTACTCCATGTACAGTTTCTTTGAGTAGGTAACCATTCAATATGTGAAATGGATCAAAAGACACATCAAACTGACACACCCTGAAGCTGAATTTTTTATTGAATACTCAAACTTATACTTTCCTCACAAGCCCCAGAAGGCCTTCTAAATGTTGCTATCCATCTTAGCACATGAAATTCATCTTCAATGTGCATCTCGATCCTTGGCTGTTAGGACTTATTTTAAGCTGTAGGAGCTTCCAAACCAAATAATGGTGGGTAAAAGTAGGTAGGAACATATGACAACTGTGGATGTCTGTGGAGAGCAGGAAACTAGCACAGCTAAAGAGTGGCGTGGGGACATGTTTGGTGTGGAATCTGGTGGAAAACTGGATGGTTGTGATATCTGGTATTATGTATAACATATGTAATGTTGTTTTCTCTTATTTACCTAGTTAGTACCATCACTTGTCCTCTGCCTCAGTTCATGTATTTGAATCCTTTTAGTCACTTTTTTGGGTTGTTACCACTAGCCAGAAGTTGCTGGCTTGTTATTGGATTTGTGACCATGGATATGCGGGCCATCAGTTGATGTATTCGTGACAATGTGTATTGTTTTCGCTACTGTTGTTATTACCTCATTCCACTCGTCTGTTTCTGTTTGAGTTCAAACGACTGACTGCTGCAGAGACGTGTGCTTTACCTGTATTTTAGAATGTGATTGCTGACTAGAATAGGAAATTCTTTATGAGAAAGTATTAACATTTATTTTTTTTTTATTTTGTTGTTTTCCTTAGTCTTCACCTGATATTCTTGTATTAAATGTGCAGCTGCTGGAGAGAATTGGTCCTGCAACTGAGAGATTAAAGAACAAAGGAATTGATTTCTCTTTGTGGTACAAGCCAGAAAATTACCGTACAGATATTTGACATACCTACATAGTTCTTTTTGTGCCTGTGATACGAGACCTGCTGTTAGGTTTTGGTGGCTATGACTTCATTGAATTCTAATCTTTATTGAGATTCTATATCTTTCTATACAAGCGTATACTACTGAATGCTTCCGACTGATGTAAAATCAACAGTAATTGAAGTTCGTCGTTTTCTTTTTGGCTGAAATTGCAAGTGAGTAGTTGTTTCATATCCTAAACTCAAAATTTTACTTTTAGTAAGCTAAATATATAATAATTTCTTAGAGGTAGATATTGAGATGTAGACAAGGAAATAGGCTTATGAAATATGGGTCTGAGTTTCATTTAATAGATATCTCATTTTCTGCTTCCCTTGAAAAGTCCCCCTCTGTTCCTTGTATACTATACTTTGTACGCATTTGGTAGCTGGAGCAGTAACTAAGTCATTGCATTAAACATCTGGCACAGGATAAAAATTAAAATTGCACCTTCATCTGATCATTCTTTGTTCAGTGATGAATTCCTTGAAACTTTTGAATTTTGGTTCTGGTGATATTGTATGTTTCTCTGTATATTTGTCTCTTATGTCCAAGGAAATTGGCCCAAATGCATGGCATTAGAAGGTCCTCTAGCATTTGGTACTACGAGTACAAGGGATTTCACATGTCTGAACACAAATGCAATCTTTGGTGAACTAATGTCTAGAATAGATGTCACAAACTGAAATTTCTCCTGAAGCTCTTGGTCTAAATAAGCCTTGGTGAGAGTGAAGATTTATGTATCTACATCTTGAACCTAGTCATTTGTGTGCAGACATATGTAGCTACAATTTTCTAATGAAGAATGTCCGTCCAACTTTTAGTTATTAGAATATCTCTGGAGAGGTTATGCTCCATAGAATTTTCTATTCTGGTTGGAGAGCGTCTGTTCTAGTAAGAACCTACATAATAATAATCTCTTCTGGGTTCAACCAGTCTACAGTTGACAAATGTGCAGTTCTTTGCTTTTCAGGTTTCTTCTCTATTATATTTTCAGATTATGATACAACTGTCAAATTTAAATTCATTATGAAGTTTTTCATAGATCCATGATACACTTTTCGGTTAAATTAGTATAGAATAAGGTTTCAGCACTAATTATCTTACCTTCTATAATTATTGAATGATTATTTTTCTACATAAATTGATTTATCTGGAATTTAGTACAATAAATGCTTTGACCACGTAACTTTTGTTGTTTACAGTTTGTACTTGTGAACTGTTGAATGGATCTAGAGGTATCATCAAAAGCATAGGCCATATAATCTTTTTCAATATTACTTTTAGTGAGGAGATTTGTGTCTATGTAGTGTTCATAAGGTTGTCAAATGAATCTTATATTGGTTTGGAGGTTAACCCCGGGCATCTCCTTTATTAATTGTGTTCGTGGAAAGTTAAACAACCAACGTGCTTCAGAGTGTTTATACACAGGTGTAAAAGATAAATTGTTTGTAGGAGAAATTTAAGGCATTTTATTTATAGAAGCATCATCTTGTTGTTTTGATTCCTCAGTACATTGGTTTTTGTAATTGCATTCTTCATCTCGTGTGATTTGAAAGTAAACTTTGTCCAGCATAAATTGCCTCTGCAGCCGTAGCTGATTGCTGAAGAACTTCAGTCTTTTGGTCGAATGAGAATTCCTTTTATGACCAGTCCTCTCTTCCACCCCCCACCCTCATATTCATACATTGAACACTCCATATTCCCATTATTCTCTGGCAACGTCTCAAATTCTCCTGCTAGGACTTCTATCCACTTTCCCCTAGGTTTGTCCATCATATTTTCTCTGTGTTCCTGTCTGCTTCCATCTGCTAGAATGAGTCTGAAGTTCACTGGAATTCCCCATCCATAAGCAGGATCTTTTAACATAAGAACAAATACAACCTGATAGAGAGTTCTTGGTGTGAGATTGACCGTGTTGAACCACCCATGAATTTCCAGCCAGCAAACGTTCAGCAGCTCTGCAGCAACTAGAGTCACATCACTGCAAAATAGGAAGCAGCACAAGTAATCAATTTATAGTCCAGAAGCATCAGTCTGTAACACATGATAAATCTGTTATTGGTTGTGTTTTTGGCATATCTGGTTTTTGAATTTTGATTGTGCATAACAAATGACATGGCTTTTGGTGACTAACCGTTTACTCAAAAAGATTCTTTCCAAGAAGTGTTAAAACTTCATAACTATTCTACAAAAATTATGACTTTCATCTCTTAGTTTATTATTCGATTTCCGATGCAGCGTGTCGTTGTTCTTTGTTTACCTCAGCTCTTGATCCTGCTAATAATAAATGAGGACTATTAGGGTACTGGATGGAGCTAGACACAGTTCGCAGACTTCTTGTTTTGTCTGCTAACTATGCTTCTCAGTAGCTACCTGGATTCTTTTATGAAGGGCCAGTGCCAGCAGGATCTGTCTTCAGCCCAGGTTATTGAAAGATTTCTTGCATATAGCATGAAGCAGTTCCTCTTAGAGGTCCTATCAATCCAATACTTCTGCATTACATAAAAGTCTCTGGTAAAAACTATTCTTGCACAATTAAGTTCGTATTTTATGAAAAATAAAATGAAAGAAATGGTGATGATAGCTCTATTTGGAATTTTTAATTCACTTGGCTACCCAACAGGATTTCAGACTCAGTAGGATGCATTACTTTGAATACTCCTAAATCTGTAAACCATGTGGATGTTTGCAGATACATACCAAAATTTGTGAATGTGTTGAAAAACAGAATCACTTGCCTTCTTTTTTTGGTTTAAGAATACTCCTGCATATAGCTGATCATAGAGCTTCTCAGTAGAGGACTTGTCAACCGGTGCATCAGCATCTTTGAGAATCTCTTCGTGATTGTGAGGAAGCTTAAGTTCTGTGGCAGTCTTCTGAATTGCCCCAGACTCATTATTGTTGATCTGTGGAGTGCATGGAGGGGTTTCCTTTCTGTGTTCTTCAGTAGGCTGTGATACCTCATCTTGTGACCACTCTGCCCCCATTTCGTTCTAAAGGAAGTCTTTGGGGAGCCTTGTTTATGCTGCAGGTAGCAGCGCTTATATTCTGCAAGCATGATTGCTTTGTTAAAGGTTGATATATTCTCTTTTAGTGGACCTCGAATCTCAAGCTAGGAAGCACATATTCTTGATGGCTACAAGTTGAATGCTGGGCTTCACGTAAATGTCGGTTTTTTACGAATCTTTTAGTAGAAGATTATTCTTCTCCTGATAACTAACGACTATAATCAAGACATTCGGATAGCCTACTTTTTGTAAAGTTATTCTCAGCCATTGAAAAGTTTAGAAAAGGTAGTAGTATTCTTCTTGCATTAGTAGGTAGAGGATGAGCGCCTGCTGCCTATGCTGTTTTGCTATCTTTAAGAGGGAAATTTGCCAAAAAAAGCAAAAGGCCAAACGACTTAAATAAAACAAAGAAAATGATCAGCATCCCAGAAAAAAAAGAAGTATAAAAGAGAAGGCATGTACTCATTACAATGGAAATGAAATTGATCTTTAATCCTAGAAATGTTGCTTCCCATGGGAAAAAAAAAAAAGAAAAGGGAAAAACTCAATATGTTGCCATAAAGCAAACTGGATAAAGAATTGGTTAGATGTCCTGGAAGCAGCAAGGTAGGATGTCTGGAAACCATAACAACAGCACATGATTTTTTCAAGCATGCGCATACACAAATATTGAGATGGTGTCCGGCTTCACCCGAGGATAAACAAATAAACACATTCCACGGCCTTGGAAGAGAAGGAACGACTGCAACATAGCTCAATATTCCTCAAATCTTATCCATTTCCTTCTCTCCAAAAAAAGGAAAAAATGATGATAAGAACAATAGTAAAGACTCTTATTTATTGCAGCTCTGTGGCAGGAGGGTTGTCTGGTTTAACTTTGACCCCTCCAAGTACCATGCCACCCTTCCACCAATCAGTTTCCACTTCAAACATTCCAAACTCAACAGTAGTGATTAGAACTTCATTGTTAACAACAAAGGGTTTACCACCAGGTATCTCATGCCACTGATCAGGTTGCTTCTTGTAGGTCTCCAGTATGATGAGCTCAGTAGACATGATCTCCTGAGTATCTTTGAACTTCACCTTGAATTTGACATCGGCCGTATGCCACCCAAATGCTCCAGGCAAGAACTTTACTACATAGTATAGTCTATAGGTGGTGTGCACGGCCAAGTTCAAGCATGGAATGTCCAACATTCCAGTCACTTCAAACCAGTTCACTTGATCGAGTAATACAGCTTCCTCAAAGCCAACTGACCTGTAAGCAAGATGAGATTAATTCCATTTTAGTCATATGGTTAGGTATACCAGGTAAAGGCAGTAATATACAAGTCAAAAAAGATTACATGCATGAGGTATACTCTACAGATTTGGGCCATCAAACTAGCTTAAGTAGGACTAGTTTGACAACGAAGCATGACCTAGTTGTTAAAATGTTTCGTCTGTAACCAAGAGGTTACCAAGAAGTTACGGGTTTGAATCATCATAAGGTAAATGGAGAATTATTATTGATTCTCTTTTAATAATAATAAAAAAAAGTAGGCCTAGTCTAGCAGAATAGTCTCCTGTACACAGAAATGGCTAAGCATCAATTAAGAAATTGTCAGGACTTAACATTTTACCTATTTTCGTCTTCGCCAAGCGTAATCCGTCGCCAGTAACGATGGTCTCTTCCCCATGCGATGTTCAAAGCTCGGACCGGAATACTAAATGATCCTGCAGAATCTGGCCCTTCTATGAAAGACGGATCCTATCAGTACAGAAGTATACAAGTCAGAAAGGGTCTTCTTTTGACTGTTTCTTAAGTCGTTGATCAATTGCTGGATTTGTCTGGACATAGAAAATGCTTTTTTACGTTTGAAAAGGAACTAAACACAGGGAAATTAGACACTGAACTTTGCAGTTTCACTTACCCTTTTCCAGTGAGGACTGATATAGTCGTTTCTTTGCCCAATCTCCATCTTCTGCTGCTGATTGAATCACCAAAAGTTGTAACCAAAAATAGTTATGTACCCGATTGTAGAGGGAGGAGAACTTCCTTAGAACACCAGAATTAGCGAACTTCTCCCTTAATGATGGAGTTTACTTGAAGTGGTGAAAAGACAGTGGTCTTGTTAGAAAAGTCATTACCAGACAGAAAGAAAAGTCCCATCAGGGGACATCTGATATAATTAAAAAAAGACCGAAAGAAAGGAAGTCATCAAAATCGCCAATCTCTTTCATACACTTCATTCTTCAGGAGACCTACCATTTTTAGAATACAGAATTTAGATGTGATATTGCAGTCATAAAAACATTGGAATTTGCCATGTGCCTCCCAAATTTTGATGAAGAATCATCTCACGTACCATCAAGACACAAAGGATTACTGTGCACACACATTTATAAATTCTGATGTACACTAAAATATATGATAGACTGTGTTGTCCACTAAGTCTATGATAAACTGTCCACTAAAATATATGCAATTTACATATGATGATCCTATATGCTTGTGAGATGATCTATCTGTAAATCAAGATTTACAACATGCCATCTTACACCATCTCATGGCAGTAATGATATGTCCAACCTTATTTGAGAATTAGCCTTTGCGGTGGTCCATTTGATGTTGTTTTTGCTTTCACTTTCGCTTTCGCTTTTCTCTGTTCACGTTCTATTATTCTGTGCGTACACTTAATTAAATGCAATTAATTAAGAAAAGTTAGTCTAGCATATTGTTGTCAAAGTTTACTGGATTCGATACAATGTTGAACATGATTAGATAAATCGTTTAATGGGTTAGAAGATTCTATTATTAGGTAGGGATGCTTGGATACGTAATTAAATCCAAGTAATTAAGAAAATTTAGTCTAGCATATTGTTGTAAAAGTTTACTGGATTTGATACAATGTTGAACATGATTAGATGAATCGTTTAATGGGTTAGAAGATTCTATTATTAGGTAGTTATTGAGACATTATTGAGAATGATCGAATCAACTTCTCTAAGCCTATTCCTTATGCTTCTGAGCTTGAAATTTTAGCTCTATTGCAGTCTCATTTAGTCATGTGATTGGATATCTCTATCCCAAGTTTAATATAAGATGATTTTTTGCAAAATATGCAAAAATCACGAACTTAAATCCTATTTGGACGAGAGGATCAGGAAGTTTAGTAATTTCAATCTCAACTAATTTGCTGACAGAAAAAGAAAAGAAAATAAAATGGGCTAATGCAACTTCTTGCATTTACTCCTCCATCATTTGTGTAATCTTCAATTTCTGGGTGCTATAAACCTCTAATTTCAACCATATTAAATATTGTACCGTCCAAGAGCATTTTTTCTTTCTTTCATTTTTGGCTATGCTCAGAATGTATAGAAATGGAACCACTTGTTAGAAATTTGGAATGCAGCCTTGACATATGTATTTAAGAGGATACTTTTTCACCTTTTTCTACGTTAGAAGTGGACTTACATTGGACAAAAAAAGTGCAATATATGTCCATTTTGATATTCTTAACATCTCAATGGAGAGGGTTCTTAATATTCTTAACTTCCTCCTATTTGGGCAAAAAATGAAAAAATGAAAAAATGTCATTGTCTACAACATATCATTTCAGCTAAGTCATGTAATCAAATGTGTAAATCAACAAACAGAAGCAAGATGCATAAACTTAACTATGTACAAAACAATCTTGGCTCATGAATAACAACAATATATATCCTGGTGAGATGCCTCTGCGAAAATTTGGATCACTTTGGAGGTTGCTTGCAATAATATTTGCATTCACAAATGTTGCCTCTGCATGTGCCCTTACCACTTGGTTTTGTTGAACATTTTTGTGTGCATTTTTTTGGCTGACATTTGTTGGTGTAAATCTTCTCATGACAGATATGCTCTGGAATTGTTATGCAACTAACAACTTCAACTCCTAAGCCTGCAATTGAAGTTGAATATATGAAGTTCAGTAGATGTGTTTTTGCAGTTTATCTCTCTAGTTGTAACTTCATACATAGTATAAGATGCTTAATTCTTCCCCAAAGAAAAAAAAAAGAGGATAAAGCTTATAAAGTGATAGTATTAGAGGTAGATAATATGGATTAGGATCCAGTTTAATTAAATTGGTTGACTTTATTCATGAAAAATATTGATTTACGCCGGCTAAACTTCTCCATTTGATTCAACACAGTAGCGTTTAAAAATAATTGATAAGAATATATTTTACGTATTTTTAATGTGTTTTATTAGTTAATTTTGGTTTGATTATTTAGTTTTATAACTAAAATAACTAAGGTTTTGGTAAAAATCTACATTTTATGTTAAAGTGGCGAACATTGCATTTCTATTGATTTTTATGGTAAAAACTTCATATTTTGTAGGTTTAATGATTCAATCATCAAATGAAGTGCATTGAGAAGATATTTGGATGATTGAAGATAGATTAAAGTGGTGAAAATAAAATATGAAGTGTAAAAGGAGAAATGCAATTTGAATCAAGAAAAGTCAGCTTTGACAACTCTGACACATTTTCATATTTTGACTATATCTGGAGCTACACATATTGGATTGAGGTGATCTTTATACCATTTTGAAACTAAGAGATAGATTTAAATTCGGTATGAAGACATCAGAATCCAATTCAGCCGATTACTCAGTCAAAAAGTCGAAATACCAAAATTCAACACTGCTGTCCAAAGTTGAAAATAGGGGTTTGACCAGGTGTTAGAATTTCAATCATATCTCAGTCTACAAAGCTTAGATTTGGATGATTTTTAAAGCATTGGAAAGCTAATTCAAAGGGGTAAAACTTTTGTGTTTTATACAAAAGCTAGTTCGGCCTCAATCGTAGAGAAAATTGCAGTTGAAGTGAAGCCAAAAACACAGAATTGAAAACGCGAGTTAATAAAACGCGACTGAATGCCGCGTTTTGTGTAGGCGCGTTTTGAAGCCGAAATTCTGCAATTTGCTCAGCCATTTCTCTTGTGTTCAGACTACTTTCCAGCTATAAGTTGCAAGGGAATTCGGTGCACATGCTTTAGAAGACAAAAGGGCAAGAAAGGTGGCTTATTTTCAAGTCAAAAACATTTGTTATTGACTATCTTAACAATTTCAGATTTGGGAATCAAGTGTGGAAAGTTTGACTAGTGGAAAATGAGCTTTAGAGTAGTTTATATGCAGAGACATTTGGGAGGTCTAAAAATTATCATACGGGAGGAAGCTTGAAGAGTGCAAAAATGTAGTTCTTCCATTTCCTTAGTGTAGGATAGTTTAGCTAGTTAGTTCATCCATTCTTGTTTATTAGATAAATTAGGATGAAGATGGAGATGAAGAAGGAGAAGTTGAACCTCATGTGACAAGGATTATCTCTTCTCCAACTCTTAATCTTTTGTATTTGATTCCAAGTTTAGCTAATATACAAGTTCTGGATTTTATGTTTAATATGTGTCTTTAAAGTTTATACCTTGGGTTTAGTTGAACTTTCTATAATTGTTAGTGTTTATTATTTGGTTATTTGATTGCTATGATTTGAGCAAGTTATTTAGCACTTTGACTCTTTAAATCATGATTAATCTAGTACCATTGATTGTGATTATCTAAGGTGTTGTTTCTGCAATGAAAATTGAGATTTAACATTAGTTCAAGAAGTGTTAAACATAGGGAGTACACTCACGAAAGTAGAGAGGTGCACCTATGTGGTTTTTAGTGATTCATTTCATGTAATTTCACTGAAGAAATGAACTTGTAGCTAATTTCATAACCATGAGAATAGGTATGGATTAGTTATGAGTATAAATGATTCACTACGAAAGTAAGATTCAAATGCATAAGGAAATTACACCATAACTAGCCTAGATGTAGTATTCAATGATCCAAATATAGCACTTGCATGAGTAGTTAGGGATACCACAACCTAAGGAGCTTTTATTTGTTATTTTGTATAATTTCAGTAGGTTAAATTTGTTATAATTCATTGATAGTCTAAATAATAGAGAAGCTTTAGTAATACCGGTAATTGTTCACTCTTTCTTGTGGGATCGACCCGATATATACCCTAAACTACTAGTTGACCTGTATACTTGCAGTGAACGAGTGTAATTCGATTTTTTTTTTAACTTGTACGTATGTAAAATACCCGACAATAATTTTCACTAAATTTGAGCAAAGAAGTACCGTAAAATGTAATTGCAACATTGAGTTCTAATGCATTCTCAAACCACAAACAAGCAATAGATGATGCAGGGAATTATATGATCAATGCCGCATAATATTTTGTATGGTATTTTTCAATTTTTTTTATTTTTTCACAGACGACAACAATATATAACTATATCAACAAAATGTCTACAAAGTAGAGACGAATTGGTTTAATCAGCTTAAGCCAAGTGTGATATTCAAATGGTAAATTCAACTCAATTAGAATTACAAGTATGAAAATTTCAAAATTCCAATAAAATTCCAACTTTTTACTTTAAGAAGTAAGAAATCGAGGTTCCCAAAGCTAAGATCTTGTTTATTTGACAGATTATTTGGTAATTGAAACTAGGACATAGTTATTTTATGCGATTAAGGGAGATAACTCTTTAGTCTATCATTAATTTTGATAATTCTTTGTACGGATGCAGGGCATGGACGGTTATCAGTGACAATCATCCAAAACAGTGTAATATTTTTTAAACAAATTGTAACTATTTCTTAATTGTTTGTACACGTTTACAATAGGAGTGTGATATTTTATTACAGTTCATGTGAACCTTCTTCATAATAATTGTGTGTCTATTATAAAGTTTTACAAGTAATTCACACGAAGTGTTTAGAAAATATTACATCGCTCTAGATGGTTGTCACTGACAATCATTCGTATCCCGAATCCTCTTATATGGTTGGTTTTTAAGGATAAAATTCTTATTTTTTTTTGTCCCCCTATACCCGTCCATCCTCAACTATTACATCTAAAATTCGAATTATGCATCTACATAGAAAACTCTACCAGCCATTCCCTGACCCTTGTCAAACCAACAGATTACTATCCACATATGTGATGCTCGATTTCTAATATCTGATATAACTTTGAAGGCACTATTACAGCACAAAAGAAGCATATGCGACTAATCCCAAGATACAAGACTGAACTGCTATTCTGAAAAATGCAGAGAAAGAAACGATCAAATGAAAACTAATTTTCAGTAATTCCTTGCTAGCGCTTTTGAGTAATATATAGCAATGTTCAGTCTAAGTGCCATATTGAAAGTTCAAATCAAAATGCAGATTGTTAAAAAGAGATGTACCTGAAGAGATTATAAGCAACATTGCCAGTAGGATGGTTGACCAAAATAGATTCATTTTGAATCGAAGTTTGCAAGTGGGAAAATGAAACTCCGGCTCTCAGAAACAATCAAGCATAGAGGTTCCACTTTTACACAAGGTGCAGAAACTCAAATAGATATAATCAACAGGTATAAAGAGAGTGCAAATCTAATTGCATCCCTGAAATTAGTAAAGAAAAAAATGACGCCAAATATATATAATTAGTACCAGATTGAGGGGTGAACCTCATTGTTTCAAATATGTTTACATCATAAAAATAGTTACTAGTTATGCTTTGGGAGAGAATCACATTTATTGTCAAGTATGAAAAAGTAGATGGCGTGTCACAAAGAACAAATGTTTTAGAATAGCTTGAACGTTCATTTTGCACATATGCTTTTCTTTGCCAAGCAATCCTGACTGGAAAGAATTTGCCACTGAAGTTAGTTAACGGAATCAAGTCTCTGGTCAAGTGAATTCTCTCTCAAAACAGGTTTGCTTTCTGAAAGAATCAAATTTTGGTCTAATGGGTGATTAAACAATTCCTTCATAAATATACATACACTACCATGAAAAATTGGAAGCACGTACGTAACTTTTATATCCAGTCAGGAATATATTTACCACATAAAAATTAGGTGTAAAACCCTATAAACTTTCTTTAAGTTGCAAATAGTGCTGTTAATGAACTGAACTGCTTTCAAATTTGTAAACTAGAATTACTAAAAATTTTACCGTCACGTAGTCGAGCTCCCTAAATACTATCAAGTCGATTCTGAGGATCAAATTAAGTATACAATCGAACTCGTGTCAGGTAAATTGTTCAAATTTATGCTCCTTTAGACTCATTTACGCCCCAAAATACTTTTAAATTTTATGTTACAGCACTGTATATATTGTACTATATATTTTTTGTGTTGTACTTAAATTGAGTTTTCCATGCAAGGAATTTGACGAGCAAAAGTTATTAATATCCCTAGATTCAATTAAGTAGCCCAAATGCCCTTTTTTTTCTTTCTCTTCACCTCTTTAGTAAATTTAGATATCTTAATGACTTTTTACTCGTTAACTCCTAGCATCCATGAGTTGGTTCAAGTACATCCCGTCAAATTGATTGTTCGAGGATGCATGGTGCTGAAAATTTAGTTTAAGGGGCTCTTGTAAACCGAAGAACGTTCATAGGGCTACTTTGCAATTGCCAAGTTGGAAAAACTTTTTATTTTTTCCTGTTGTTTCTTTTTATTTTTTTTCCCTTAATAAAGGCTGGTGATGCTTTGGATAGACATCACCGACTCACAATCTTTTACTCAGAACGGCTAACAAGTGTACAATTTGCAATATATAACATATGCGGCTATAATTAATTATCACATATTTACTTACTGTTGTTGTCATTATCACATATTAATTATCATCAACTCTAAGTATCTACAACGGATAATCTTCTAATCTTCGCATAATAAGAAACTTTTCAATTTCTTTTATTTTTAATTTTTTCTGTAGTAGCATATCCAAAACTTAAATCTATCTTTAAATGTTCGAATCTATAGTTTTCATCTATAATTATAACAGATTTCTTTTAATTACCTATATATGCTGTTCCTATAATCATAGTTAATAACCCATGTACTACTTGTTTTCTCACTAATTCCGCAAGAATGCCGTAGATTGCACATATTAGAACGTTAAGTACTTTTTCCTACTTCTTAATCAGAGACTAATCAACTTGCTTATATTATGTATTATCAATCGTGAATAATATTCAGATATTGCAGATGCTAATATTAATGCATATGTGTGCTTTTATATGTCTTTAATAGAGTACATTTTAGCTGCCAACCCATTCTTAAACACAGAAATAAAGTATATTTCAAAATCTTTTTCTTTTCTTTCATCCTCTTTTTTAGAAATAACCAAATGGATAAGCAATGCCTGGGAGGAAATTTATTGACGGCATTAACTATTCGATGCCTAGGAGGAAATTTGTTAACAACATTAACTATTCTCTTAATTCGCATTGATTGATTCTGTTTAAGAAGATATATGTACACTGCCCACCAGAATTGAACAACCAACTGTTCTCTACACCTATGTTTTCAGACTCGGACCGGGCATTGACTCGGTCGAGCTCAGGAGTTAGGGGTCAATGGGTTCTACCGGATTCGATCGGGGTTGAACCAGATGATGTCATAAATAAAAATTATTTAAAAATTAAAATATTGTAGGTAAAATACCTAAGGGCATGTTAATATTAATAAAGGTATATTCATATATATTTGATGTTTTAAATATATTTAACAAGAAAATACAAAAAAAATTAAAACAATCAAGTAACAATTTATATTATTTAATGAACATTAACAAGTTTAGAATTAAAATTATGGACTTAATTGAAAAATAATATTAAATTTTAGGACAATATTTATAAAGTATGAAATATTTGAGATATATTAATAATTTTTAATAATTTAGGTGTCAAAAGATAATATTAAAAATGTTTGACCCTTTTTTGAAAAAAGCTTTGACGGTGGGGATTATATATAGAGGCAGAGGAACGGGGTTAGGACGTGATATGATGTTGCTCGGACTACGGTAATTCAAAACGTATATGGTGCTTCAATGCGCTTCCATCTGGAGGAATTAGTCAGTGCCCAGAATTAGTTATTGCTTTGACTGAACCGGTTCTTCCGATTTTTTTCCAGTCAAACCCGGTTTTTGACTGAGTTTGATCGAATTTTTAATTGTCCGATTTTTTAGAATAACTCAGACCGGATGCCTGGCCAATTCCTAGTCCGACCGGTCCGGTCCGGTCCATTTTTAAAAACATAGCTGTACACTGTAGAGCTCTACACAGCTCTACACTCGTCAACTTTGTCTCAATTATGTGATCTTAGAACTTAGACCACTCCAAGGATACATTACTTTTTTTTTTCTTTTTTTGGTACTGTAAGAAATATCATCATAAAAAATAATAAAACTTAATTTTCTTGATGAAGGTTGGTAATGCATGATAATTAATATCTTAGACATTACCAATTTACCATGTATTAGTCACAAATGGCTTATTTTTCATGTAATTAATTTTGTAACGTATTCGATATATGGCAATGTAATTGTTAATTACCATATATTTATTTTTTTTCTTATGTATTAGTATAGTGGCAGTAGTGTCAATTCTGATGCGGATTCATAATTATTTATCCTAAATATTTCTGCAGATCCTATTAATGCTCAATCTTTAGCTATAAATTTCTTTGTCACTATCTTTCATTTCATCCCCCATTAAAAAAAACGAAAAATAAAATCAAATACACCACACTGATGTCATTTTTCTATAAATTGATCACAAATGATGAAGGAAGATGCCTTGTGAGTTGGAAAAACCTCTATTTCTAAACCAAGTCTATCATAAGTTTAACCATCCACAGCTTTGTTCCTACTTATGCACCATATTTAGCCATGAATTCCATCCTTCTTACACCATCCCAATGACTGAATAAAAGAGCAATACCTAAAATTGATATAGCTTCTGTTGATTCATAAACCAAAACTCAATTCCTTTTTCTTTTCAGCAAATTGATCAGGAAAACATGGTGAACGGTCAGTGTATGCTTTGTGATTTGGGGAAACCTCCATTTCTACACCATGTCTATCACAATAACAACTATTTGCAACTTTGCACGTCTTGTTTACTCAACGTGTATCGTGGAGCCTATTGTCCAATTTGTTTCCAAGTCTATGAACCAGAAAATCCCAACCCCTCTTCAGATCTAGTCAATTGCTATTGCTGCCCGGCAATCACTCATCTCTCCTGCATTAATTCTGGAGCAGCCGCAACCTCAACCTCCATCTCTATAACCATCCGGGGGGTCCCATACATATGCCGTTCTTGTGCTGATCCAAATTTCAATTTTTTCAATCTTGGTGCAGATGAGAAAACTAAAATGTTAATGATTGATCAGCATTTCGCAAATCAGCTGATAGCTGCATCGGTGATTTCTGAGCGGACGATGAAGGAGGCTGCTGAATTACACAGGCGTTGGGCTGAGATGAAGGCTGAGGAGGCTTTGCAGGCTCGAAAGGAAGCGAAGCTAGCTATAGAATTCTTGGCACAGATGATTTCCCAGTTCAATGTGTCAAATAATAGTGAAGATGCACCAATTATCTCAATTTCAAGTTCATCTTCTGAGTTCAATGAGTCAGATAATAGCGTAGATGCACCAATTTACACAATTTCAAGTTCGTCTTCTCAGTTCAATGAGTCAGATAGTAGTGTAAATGGACCAAGTGAGTCAATTCCAAGTTCATCACATAGCAGAGAAAGTAAAAACCGAAGATCGGACTAGACGTAGAAAGCGTTACATTGACAAAAACATAGGGTATAAGTTATAGAATTGGTCCATTTTCATGGTGTTAGAATGAGGGTTTGATTATATTTTCCCTTCTGTTCTCTTTCCCCTCTTCAAAATGTTGTCCGCAAGATTAAGAAAGATTGTTAATTCTCTTCCCCCTCTTTAAAATGTTGATTTGTTTGGGTGTTATGCAGTTCTTTTTCATCATCGTTTGAAAGATTTTTGAACTTTTTTCTAACAAGTATATTGCATCTTCTACAATTAGATCGATAAAGATTAAATCTGTAGTCATGACATCAACATTTTCATTTATATTGCAAGACAAACATTTTCATTTACCAAATATATTGCATCTTTTTCATCATCTATTGTAAAAGTTGAATTTCATGAGTAAATCAAAACAAACTATTATAAAGAATTTTCAAGGTACAATATATTACTAGTATCCAATAGAAAATTTAAGTTGTAGATTTAATATTGATAAATAGTAAAAGAAGTGCAACAAAAATAAAAAGTAGTACTCTCATTAAATTATAGTACTTGTACACCTCCGTTTGGATTGGTCATTTTTTGAAAAACTCCAATTTCATATACAATGTTACAGTAATACACAAACAAAAATAATTTTAAAAATTCCAAAACCAATCTCAAAAACACAAAAAATAACCTCAAAAATAATTTCATCTACAGTAAAAGTTTTTCACCTATATTGTTATAGTAAAATATTTCAAAAATATCCTCAAAAACAGCTAATCCAAACGGTATATACTAAATATAGTACTACCCAATCTGGTACTTGTATTAATAGTTAAAAGAAAAAGCCAACATGGAAGCGATGAGAGGATACGTCGTAGTTAGGGGTGTTCATGGATCAGGCAATCAATCCATTTGCAATTTAGTTGACTCTAAGTGCATGTACCAGTTCAGCAAAATTGCATTATACCTTAACCCAATTCAACCGGTTAATTAGTGATCGATTAATCGGTGGGATAGGATTAAGTAATTAGTGTAACCTATTGTTCTTCTATTTATAGGAATAAAAAAAAAAGAATTAGATTAACAAATCAAATAGCGCAACATTTTTCCAAATCAATAAGAGTATTTAATCATAACTCTAAAAAATTATCAACAATATAGAAAATCAATACACATTAGATATTAAAGCACCAAATATTTTGAATATTTGTTTTCATCCATTTCTAGAAAGCTATCAATTTATTTTTTTAATGAGGAGTTACTCCACAACCAAACATGTAAGTTTTAAAAATTGAAAACAAAATAATTACTAGAGTGATGAAGTTGATAGAATCTATGAGAAATGAAAAAAAGTTTTGAAAAAGGACAAAGCAAAAAAAAAAAGAAGCACCAGAAATGCAGTTAGTAGTGATGTATATAGGAAGTGAACAAGGTAAATGGGAGTTAGGTTTAGGTAGATAAGTTTATAAGTTTTTAAAAAAATAAAATATATAATGGTCTTCCTTACTCAAATATTATTAGTAAATGACTAAAAAATTATGAGTTGAGATTTGGGTACTGATTACCCTAACCAACCCTACGTGCCTACACATATGCAGGTTGTTTTAGGTAATCACGATGTTTGAAAATTGAAAACCACATTCTAACCTATTTTTTTTTTATGTAGGTTTGGGTAATCTAACTGTTTTAAAAATTGTGAGTTAGTTACCCTATTTTACAGTTTGGATCAATTAGATTTTCTTGGTTACTCGCTTTTTTGGTTCTTTTTTAACACCCCTAGCTGTAGTAATGGATTGTTATATGTAGAAATAGTTAGATGCAATGTGTGAATTGTATAATGGGTACAAAAAATTTTGAGTAAAATTTCAAAAGGTGAGACTTTTTCGAAATCAATTCTAAAGAAGTAGTGTTATTCAAATCTCTTCCGAAAGGGTAAAAAACGCATTTAGTGAACATGTTGTTTCCATAAAAACTGCATTAACAAAATGTATTCTTTTATTTGTCTACATATTTTTACTCACTGAATGCATTATATCAAAAGTTAGTAATGGATTGCCATAAATAGTTAGACACATTGCATAAATTGTATAAGGGGTACGAAAAATTCAAGTAAATTAAAAGGTAAGACTTTTTCAAAATCAATTCCAAAGGAGCATTGTTATTCAAATCTCTTCCTAAATTTTGCATATATGTCATGTATCCAATTATGATAGTGTATACACTGTCAGTGTATATAAGATTAACTCATTCTTTTTTCTTAGAAAACATGTTTACTAAATGCGTTGTTTAAAAGATGCAGTCACTGAATGCATCGTATCAAAGGTTTCATTATTTGGGAGCTCTTTTAAACACTATCATTGTTTCAGAATTACCTTGAAAAATTTAGATCTTACAAAGATAATTAACTACGAAAAAAGTTGTGATCAATTTCAAATTGTTCAAAATTTTCTTATGTACTAATTGACAATAGTATAAAACGTTGGTTATATGCTACTTATTTTGATAAAGTTTTGTTTATATATGGATTATTTTTTATAAAGTTTTGTTTATATATGGATTATTAAAAGTGCTTCCTGTCGAAAAGCTCAATAGGTTTTAACATTGACTTTTCCAGGACTTTCTTCTTGTTATGTGTCAAAAAAAAAAAAAAAGAGTTTTGTTGCCAAAATTGCTCTGTAGGACAAAACAATCAAATCACATAACACATATTTCAAAAGAAATCAAAATACAAAACAAAAAATTGCTTATTCTTTTAACGTACCTTCCCATAGTGGAAGTAATAATCCAAAAAAATCATATATTAGTTACTGGCTACATACATATATTTTCTAGTTTAGAAAATTTTGAACCAACTAAGATTCCGTAAATAAAACTCCTCTAGTCAATGTCAAAAATACTAAAAAGATGAAGTTATCAAAAGCAAATACAACTGATTGAATCATTAAAAGTTTATCCGAGACAAAGTATGCAAGCTTAAATTGTTACAGGAAACTCCTGAAAATTTAAATCAAGAAAAGAGTTAAAAAAAACATAGCTCCAATAGGATTAAATTGAAAGGCAGCAAATGAAAATTTCCAGTGATGCAATATAGTTCCCTCACCTGAAATTTTATGTTGAGTAAATAGCAATACAAAATCATTAACCACAAACCTTACAACCAAATTACGAAACAAAATAAACAAACAAGTGTAAAGACTACCTATGGAACCTTAAACTAACTAAACAAGGAAAAACAAACTGATTCCAGTCCATAACTCTATAAACTCACAATTTTAATTATTCCATACTTTTAGAGAAATAATTTATTAGACAAAGAAAAACAATGTATAATAAAAAGTATCCTCTTTTCTCTAGATCCTCATCCACGCCATGATATTGATATTAAAATCTAGATTAACCATTATTCTATTTAGAGTCAAGGAGGTTTTGGTCTAACAGTTAAAGTTAAGGTTTTAGAATTTAGATACTCTTGGGTTCAAATCCCCCTTTCCCACAACTTAAATTCTATCCTTTCTCTATTAGAGTTTTTTTTTTAAAATATTATTCTAGCTTAGATTTAATATCCAAAGTAAATCATACAAAAATTTTGATTTGGAAATCAAGCGAAAAATAACAATAATACTTGTTGAATAGCGCTTTTAACAGGGACATTAGGGACAACAGCCACGCCTTTAATATCAAGGAACAAGGACAGACTAATAGACGTATTTCCCCAGCTGTTCATTCACAAAATCTACAATCCTAGTCAACACGCTCTAGATGCTGAAAAAATTTTCTCCTACCACAGCAAAACTAACATAAAGTACTAAGGGAAGAGCAACGTAAAAAACTGAAAATAAAAAACTTAATAAAACTACTGAGCATAAGAGAGAAATAGAAGAGAATAAGACGATAAGTATTGGAATTGTTAAGCAAAAGAAGATAGAAAAATTTGTCATCGGTGGAAACCATAGTAGTAGGGTAAGAGTTAATTTTCAACGATTAATGCTCATTAAACAATTTTATTAAATTACAAAAAAAAAACCTGGTAGAAATCATATCGCACAACTGAAACCCAAAAGCTTATTATGGCAAATAAATAAATTGTAGGATAAGGAAGAAGAAGAAGAATTGAAGTAACGGTTGTAAAAAATACCCCAAACCATACAGTCGAAGTTTGAAATATGAGTTTGACTAAAAACTCATCCGTATATAGTATAGAGATTTCTAATAAATAATGGTGTTTATGAATTGTTTTATTAATTGATATATATATATATATATATGTTAAGCATATTCGATCAAGTGGCGTAAATTACTTTGAAGGTCCTTAAATATTTGCAAAATGTTCTCCTTAGTCCTTTTTTTCTCAAAAGAAGTTCTGTTTAGTTTTAAACTCTTTAAAAAGTCCATGGACTCTCAAAGTTTGTAAGAAATTAATTTAGTCCCTTGATATTAGTATATAGTTATAACCTCAAATTCTTTCTTTTATGTGAAATTACCATCAAAGAGCAATTACAATAGTTCAAAGTAAAAGAACCGTGGATATGGAATATTAGACATTTAGAATTTTTTTTTTCAAGGGATGGATGGAATTTAAGGAACGAGGAGAGATTTGAAACCTAAAACCTTTGAATCCTGCAATTTTAACCTTAACCGTTAGATCAAAATCTCGTTGACTAGATCTTTAAGAGTTCTTTCAATGTCAAATAATTTTTTTTTAATATCAATTTGTTCATCATTCAATCTTAGTAATGGATTTGTAAGTTGCAATTGCACGTGATTTAAATTTTTTTTTATACTTTTGTTATTTGTTATTTACAACGTGTATAGTTACTTAGGTGCAGTTTGTTCGAGTTCTTTGGTATATTATAGATATCTTTTTATCTTGCACAAAACTTTGACAGTAAATCTAGTGCTTCTATCTAATGACGGAACCAGCGAAGGCAGCTACCCCCAAAACTTACTACAATTCTTCAAAAGGTATATGAGATTCATGACATTTTTGCCTTAAACTGCAAACTCTTTCCCCCCCAAACGATTAGGACTCTTTTTACTTATGTTACATACTTTGCCCCTTCTAACTTACGTACTTTGTCCTCAAATAGTTTCTTTTGGAAAACCATTTTTTTCGCTTTAATTTCTCTCTATACAAGTTTCGTATAATGAATATTTTTTTTAAATCAAAA